TTATTATCAATAAGGACACTGTCAGAAGAGGCCTTGGGTTTTCCTAGAGTAGATTGTCAGCCTTTAGCAAGGCTCTTTTTATCTATAAAAATTATAGTTTCAAAAGTCAGCATAGATCATAAATTGGTAAGTTGACATTTGGTCACAATTAAACATTATCAAAATCTTTGTAGGTAGTTTGCTACTCAGCACCAGAGAATCACCAATTTTATGTCCAAGTTGACATTACTGGGTCTAAAGTTCCCCCCTTTTTTAGTGTAGGTTCCACACTTGTTGAGAGTTTTATTGCCACTTAATTTTTCAAAAACAATACATTTGGCAACACAGAGGCATGTAACATATGAAAAGGATTTTTTAAAATTAGAAATCTTGACACTTCCCTGGTGGTCCAGTGCTAAAGAATCCACCTTACAATGCAGGGGACATGGGTTCGATCGCTGGTCAGGGAACTAAGATCCCACTCGCTGCAGGACAACTAAGCCCTAGTGCTGCAACGACTGAGCTTGTGTGCCTCAACTAGAGAGCCCACGCGCCACAAACTACAGAGGACACGTGCTCTGGAGCCTGCGCGCCACAACTAGAGAAGAGAAAACCCGCTGCCACAGCTAGAGAGAAGCCCGCACGCTGCAACGAAAGATCCCACATGCCTCAACAAAGGTCCCACGTGCTGCAACTAAGACCCAATGCTGCCAAAAATAAATAAATAAAAAATAAATCTTTAAAAAAATAAAATAAAATTAGAAATTTTAAGACAGTCCAGCTTCGCATACCCCATGTAGTGACTGAGACTCACATGCTGACATTAGTCCTCCCATCCAGTGCAGAAGGGCAGTTGCCACCCCAGGCCCACAGAGGAGGAGCATAGCCTCTGTTCAGTCTCTTTTCTGTTCAGAAGGCTTCAGCCTCTGGTCACAAAGAGCCTCTGTAGAGGGTGGGAAGGTGTTTTTTAAATAATTTTTTAAGTCCTAGGTCAATTATGGGACCATCGTTGACTTAATTTTTTGGTGAAAAGATATTTACTGCTCACCTCTAATAGAGCAGCTAAAAACATAGACTGTCTTTGGAGACGATTTATATTTCCACTTTGTACTCTAGTCCTACAATGGCTGCCAGTATTTTTCGTGTAGATGAGTGTTTTCAGTCTGCAGTTTGCCTGCGAGTCACCCCGAAAACCCTGTTGAAAATACCCCCTCTCCTCCAGCTTCTTGCTGAATTCAGATGGAACACATTTGGGGTGTGGCATCTGTGCTTTTAATGTGTGTTGCAGGTGATTCTGATGCAGGTATTTCACAGGCTACAGTTTGAGGAAACCAAGATTGACAGTTCTCTGTTGAATATAGAAATTTTACTAAAATCTAGTTTGACAAAATTCTGGTCGGATATTACTCTCTGTGTATACAGTGTTTCAAGTAGACTTTTGTTTCAAAGATACAGTGATTTGATTTTACCATAAAGAAATCTAGGGAAACAGATAAGAGATTTCACATATAACTCCAATCAGTTTGTGGAAAAAAATGTTTGCATAAGGATATTTTATATACAGATTGCAGAATGTTGAATTTAACACTCTTGTAATGCTTCCATGAAAGCCTCAAGGGTAACTGACAAGTCCATTTTTATCAAAATTAATGTGTTTCTAAATTCTTATCTGCTTCTCAAACAAAATATTAGAACAGTAATTGAGTTACCAGCTGCCTCGCGTGTTCACTCTAGGGACTTGTACAAAAGCATTGTGGAACTCACCTAAGGTCATTCATTGCTTTTTGAGTTACTAAATAGCTTTGCAGTAGGCTTCTAAAAATCCAGGTATTAAGGGTGTCTACAGGAAGATAAAAATTGATAAGAGATTTGCAATAGTTAGTCTGATACTCTCTCCATTGGATTAAGGTGGAAAAATCCTCTTCAGCACTACAGATGGGAGAAAATCCTCCCTCTTAGATTTCTTCCTGAAGCAGCTTATGCCTGTCTAGTCTTGCAGTAGAACAGAAAAAGCCTTTGGAGCTAGGTATGCTGGCACAGATTTTCTGGGGGAAAAGAAAAACACTAAGAAATCAAATTTATAACTTTATTTAAGCAACGCAGAACATCAGGACAAGTATAGTATATTCCAGGAATGCAAAGATCATTCAGCATCAGAAAATATGAATAATATCTTACCAGATTAAGTGAGAGGAAACAATATGATTATTTTAATACCTATAGAAAGAACATTAGCTAAGATTCAGTAATCCTTTATGACTAATTTTTTTTATTTTTGCAAAAACTGGGAAACTTACCAAACCTTGGGCTAGTAAGTCATTTATTCCAAAACCCGTTAGTAAAAATCACATTTAAGAGTCAAAACTTTGGAAGCATTCCCATTAGTACCAGTAAGAAAACAAAGGATGGCTGTTAGCCTTACCTTTGTTCAACGCAGCCCTGAAGGTCTTAGCCAGTTGTGTAGTGAAACAGAAAAAAGAAATGAAAAATAGAGATTTTCTTCTTGAAGATTATATTAATTCATACATAGGCAATACAGGAAAAAAGTGTTTAGCATTGTTGCTACATATAAAAATTTAGATTCATGTACACCAGTGATAAGCTTTTAGTCAATGTAATAGGAGAAAAGATTCCCTTCACAGTAGTATTAATCTATAATATATCTAAGAGTGAGCACAACCAAAGATATATATAACATGGAGAAAATTACAGAACATTATTGTTAGATATAAAAGACATGAATAAAGAGACATTATGCCATCTTTAACAATAGGATATCTTGATTGTTAAGATATCATTTCTCTCTAAATTAATTCATTGCAAATCCAGTCAAAAGCCCAATAAGGTTTTTGTGAAACTTGACAAAATGAATCTAAAACTTCTAAAAAAATTCAAAAGCCCAAGAATAGCCAAGACAATCTTGAAAAGCAAGGTAGGGGCCTTGCCACAGATATTGATACCAAGCCATGGAAATTACAATACTGTGGTCCTGATACAGAGATAGACAAAAAGATCAGTGGAATAGGATAGAAGCCAGAAACAGGGTCACACGTATGTAGAAATGTGGAGGCAGCATTCTAAATTAGTAGGAAAAGATGGAATGTTTTATAATGGTGCTTGATCCTTAATTGAGAATCATATGGAAAATAAAAGTGTATTTCTACCTTCACACCATCCCCCAAAATAAATTCAGGTGAATTAAATTTGAAAAGCAAATCTTAAAAATTTACTCAAAAATAAGAAATAATTGAAAATTTAAAAACAGATACAAAGAAACGAAATTGAGCTATTTGTAGTCAGGTGGATGGACCTAGACACTGTCATACAGAGTGAAGTAAGTCAGAAAGAGAAAAACAAATACCGTATGCTAACACATATATATGGAATCTAAAAAAAAAAAAAGGTTCTGAAGAACCTACGGGCAGGACAGGAATAAAGATGCAAACATAGAGAATGGACTTGAGGACGTGGTGAGGGGGAAGGGTTAGCTGGGACAAAGTGAGAGAGTGGCATTGACATACATACACTACGAAATGTAAAATAGATAGCTAGTGGGAAGCAGCCGCATAGCACAGGGAGATCAGCTTGGTGCTTTGTGACCACCTAGAGGGGTGGGATAGGGAAGGGTGGGAGGGAGATGCAAGAGGGAAGGGATATGGGGATATATGTATACATATAGCTGATTCACTTTGTTATATAGCAGACACTAACACACTGTTTTAAAGCAATTATACTCCAATAAAGATGTTAAAAAAATATGTCCATCTTCATGTATAAATCTTAGAAATATAATTCTGAGTGCAAAAGCAAGTTGTAGAAGGATAGGTGCAATAAAGTACTGCTTATAAGAAATTTAAAACATGAAATGGTACAGTGTATTGTGTAAAGATGCTAAAATATATTGTAAAGTATAAAAACATACATGGTGCTAATATACACCAAATTGAAGGTAGTGTTTACTTCTGAAGATGGTAGATGAATATGACTGAAGAGGGACGTGTGCAGGATACACCTGTATCTATAATTTTTTTTTAGATAAAAATATTCTAAAGCAACATGTGGCAAAATGTTAACATCAAGTGAATGTCCAATAGTAAAGAAATGGTGGAATAAATTATGGCTTTTACATACTATCAAATATTTTTCAGACATTAAAAAGAGTGAGTTGTAGCTAGGTCACTTTATATGGAGGGATTTCCAAGAGTTATTATTTAGTGAAGAAAAGAAGATGCAGGGAAGTTTGTATAAAGTCATCCCCATTCTATAAAACAATGCATGTATGAGTAGGTGTATATGACATACGTATGACCATATGAACATGAAAAAGATGAGGAAGGGTTCCTCCTAGGCTGTTAACGGGTTGGGAGTGAGGTGATTAGGAAAGGAGAGGAGGGGAGGGGAGGGGAGGGGAATGGGGAGTCAAGCAAACTAGAAAATGGAAGACAATGCACTACTAGCATGGATGATGATTTGATGATTTTGTTTATGTACTTACGTGATCATTTATGTATATACACACACACACATATGCATATTTTTTAAAAGTGTAGAACCACTTACAGAAACAGTGAGAGTTGACTTAAGGGGAATTTACTATATTTGACTGGAGGCTGTGGTAGAAGAAATGGACTTATTAGCATAGTGCCAACCAAAGATGCCACTTCAAAGAAATTAATGATGTATTCTGTTTCTAGTGGATTTAAACAATTGATGCAATTAAATTGATGCTTTTCCATTTTTCTCCCTTTTGTGTTTATTAAAGTAACTGACCTTAATGAGTTCTTAATAACAATATATATAAAATACAGTGTGCTAGGTGATATAAAATACTAGTAGTAAAAGTAATATTTTATGAAATGCAGCCTTTTGACTGGGAAACCTTAGCTCTTTGTCTCTTTTTTTTTCAACTTGGGAGAGAATAAGGAATGAGTCTTATTTATTTTGGTCAGGTCAAGGCCTAAATACAGATAGTGCAAGATTATGGATAATTAATTTTTTAATTTTGCATTTTTTTCTTTCAGCGTGCGGGATGACAGAATTCGAGTAGAAAGGATGGATAACATGTATTTTGAATACAGCCACGCTTTCCAAGAGGTTACAGAATTTTATGCAAAAGACATAGTTGACGGTAAATGTAAATATTTTATACATGTTAGCCATGTGTCCTCAAATTTAGCTGAGTTGAGATTTGGATAAAGGTGCAAGTTTGACTAAAACTCTAATGGAAACTAGATAGTTATTGATTAATAACTGGAAGTAGAGGGAAGAGTTCACTGTTCTTGCACTCAATCAGAAGCACAACTGCAGCTGCTTCTTTGTAATTATGACCATTTAGTAACTTGATGTTTTTGGCATATTCATTGGAGTGTAACAAGTTAGTTACAGAAGAACCTTCCTTTTTGCTTCCTTTAAAAGATAGTCCATGATTTTCCTGCAATTTTATAAAATGTAAATCTCCTAATGAAGGCTAGCATTTCCAAAAATTGATGGCCAGAATTAAAATACCAGAACATTAGTGACAGGGTCTTAATATGTTGGATTACCATTGTTTGTCTAATTCACATTTTCTCAGCCAAGTATCTGTTTGATTTGGTCTGTACCCCTCATTCCTGCCAGTCCAGCTTATGCTAAGATCCAGTATTATCCCCTATCACAAGCTGCAGAGCTTTCACTGTTAGACCAGCCTCCCCCAGCTCCCTCTTAGGCGTCAATGTCTTGTTGGCATTTCTTTCCCCATCCCTTTTAATCTCATGGTGTCTTGGCCAAATTGAATCAGGCGTCTGAGAGTGTAACCCACTTATAATGGCAGTCCGAGATATCACCAAGGGATCATCATCTTATGTTCAACTAAAGACAAGACTAAGTCAGGAAACTATCAAAAGCCACTCTTGGCATCAGATTCACTTAGAAGGATATAGGACAGAAAATCCAGTTTGCCAACAGGACGCTGTTCCTCTTAGTGGGAGGCGTCCTCAGCAGTCTGCAGCAGTCCACAGAGTCATTGGGTGCTTAAAATCCCCTCCCTCCTCTATTGACTGCTCAGTTGCAAAGAAAGCAGACTTTAATCAGGGGGATGCAGGATCTGCCCTGGCTTAGAAGCCCCATGACCTATAGGAACCCTTATCTCTTGCTGGAATTTCTCCAAAGGACATGCCAAGTTTAAAGAGTCAGTGTACTCAAGGAAGGCCAAAATTCTGGAGTCAGGTATTTATAATTTCCCCTAGTTCAGATGCTGCAGTTTACTGATTTCAGGTCATTTTTACCATACGCAATGCTACCTCATAACACAATGGCACTTCATCTTTGTCAGGTTTCCTGGGGAACAGAGCTAGACAGTTAAAAGATGAAATTCTCAGTAGAAGGGAAGAGTTTTGTTAACTCATCATTTACGCCTTGGTTTTATAAAAAGCTATAGTTGAAAGTAATATATTTTATATTACAGATTTGTAGAGGATATCTTGTAATTTTTTCTAAAGGTTATAAATACCTACTGCAAAAAAAGTTAAAACATAGTTGTGTGTAAGGAAAAAAGTACAAGTCCTTCCCCTCAAATCCTTAAGAATTTTTTGATGTACAGATCTACACATAAACATACATATTTCTATGTATTTGTTTAATATAACTTGTATTTATTCTTTCAACTAATTTTTATTGAATGCCTATTTGAGGTATTTTACATACTGTAAGGAATTAAACAGACAAAAATTCCTGCCCTTCTGGAGTTTACAGCCTAATAGGGGGAGGTGTACAATAAAATAGTGTTTAAAGGTGATGAGTACTATACAGAAAGGCAGGGAAGAGGTGAATTTTTAAGTAGAGTGGTGAGGGAAGCCCACACTGAGAATGTGGCAGTTGAACAAAGATTTGAACGAAGATTAAAGGAGTTAAGGGGGAAAACCACATGGACGTGTGAAGGAACAGTTTCAGACAGAGACAACAGTAAGTACAACATATCTTAAGTGCTTGGTGTGTTTAAAGACTATCAAGGAGCCTGGGTGCTGGGACAGAGTAACTAAGGGGGAGAATATTAGGAGGTGTGCTCAGAGATGAAAGGAGATGGAAGGCAGGTTGTGTAGGGACTTGTAGACCCTTTACGAACTTGTGCTGCTTCTCGCAGTGAGTTGGGAAATGTTGGAGGATTTGTAAGCACAGTAATCCAGTTATGTGACGTACATTTTAAAAAGGATTCCTTTGGCTGCTCTGTTAAGAATACCCTATAGGGCACAGGGATAGAGGTGGGAGACCAGATGGAAAGCTAATGGGAAAGTCATTCCCATTAGTAGGTGCATAATAATCTGGATGTACTGAAATTTATTTAAGTAATACCTTATCGATGTTCAATTAGGTTGTGTCTAATTTTTTAAGAGGGAAGAGATATGGGGATATATGTATATGTATAGCTGATTGACTTTGTTATAAAGCAGAAACTACTAGAAAAGATTTTTCAACTCACTTTCTGGTATACACATCTTTAACAAGCATTTTGGAGTATTTCTGGGTCAAAGGGGATGAGCATTTTACACTTTGAAAATAGTTGCTCTGTTGCTCTCCAAAAAAGGGTCATCCACCATCAGAAAATGCCCTTTCTTTCGTACCCTAAGTATTTGTAAACTTCTGTATTTTTCCAAAGGGTAATTTTGGGAGATAACGGTCTAAATTATTATTTCAAAAATCATAAACTAAATTTTATTTAATGTTTGTTTTTAATAATGAATAATAACTTTAATGAAGGTGTATATTCTGTTTTTTTTAGGTTCTCAAAGTTTTTCTGGCATCATTAACTTGGAAAAGCCTGTGATTTGCTCTTTGGCTGCCATAATAAGATATTTGAAAGAGTTTAACTTGGAAAAGGTGCTTTCCAAACCCAAGTAAGTGATTTCTCAAAAATAAAAAAAAGGGTGGTGTTATATTAAAAAACATTTCTTAAATTGAATTTGGTAAGTACTATTGAATTGAATTTTTTTAAGTACTAGGCAAGAAGTTTACCTGCTCTGGATAGAATATTCTGGGACAAGAATGAGCTGTGTGGTATTGTTGCTGAAGAATATTAAAAATATTAATTGACATAAATTAAAAGAAAGCTTAAGAATTCTGTCAATTTGTATTCATGATAGCTATTGAATGTATTATAATGTTGACTACAACACCATAATATAAAACTGTGCTTTATACTAATGCACAGTTAATTGAGAAGTAGTATTAAGAAGTGGTATTGAAAAGCATTCATAAAACTTCATCACCTTTCTTATTCTTGGTTTCAATTCTTATTTCACAGACCATAAAGTTGAAGATAAAGAGGACAGCTACTAACATAGACAGCTTTTTTTAAAATGTTTTTAACTTTTTTTACTTTTGGCTGCACTGGGTCTTTGTTGCTGCACTCGGGCTTTCCCTAGTTGTGGCGAGCGGGGGCTACTCTTTGTTGCAGTGCGCGGGCTTGTTGCGGAGCACGGACTCTAGGCGCACAGGCTTCAGTGGTTGTGGCGCATGGGCTCAGTAGTTGTGGTTCGCGAGCTGTAGAGTGCAGGCTCAGTAGTTGTGGCGCATGGGCTTAGTAGCTCCGCGGCATGTGGGATCTTCCCGGAAAAGGGCTCGAACCCGTGTACCCAGCATTGGCAGGCGGCTTCTTAACCACTGCGCCACCAGGGAAGCCCCTTATAGACAGCTTTTTAAAAGAGTGATTAACTTTGTAGAGTTGAGAGATTTAAAAGCTGGCAATTGACATTCTAGGAAAATGCTAGTTTAAAAGCCAGTGGAATAAAAAAAGGGTAGCAGAATAATTTTCTTGCCTTTCCATATTCTACCTTCACTAGCCCCTTATCTTTGGCTCTGTGAAGAATTACCCTATATCATATAGATCCTGGATAAGTAAGCTACTTCCTCTTCTGCAGAGGTGGGGTGGACAGATAGGAGCTATCTCAGTAAAATGTCATTTAGTACCAAGATTGGGAAATCCTTGTCTATGTCTATTTTAATCCCACCTTGAAAGCGATACACTTCCAAGAGTTCTACCCAATGTCCTAAGTATTTTGAGGTATTTCTACTCTCTTTAGTCGGAGAGCAAACTATTCTAAGCCTTATGTGAACCCTTGTTCGTCCTACTGTTTCTTGTGGTTCTTTCCCTGATCTCATGTGAGGTCCTCCGCATATTTAAGGATCAGTGCTTGGCCAGAGACTTTGATGGGACCCTTCTGCATCTCTCTGTATGCAGCTCTGTCGTCTCTGACATTCTCTCTCACAACTTCTACTTTCCTTGGTCTCTCCAAGGAGTTAGTCATAGTGTTTACCTCTTTTGTTTTTCTTCTCTCAGGGATCACAGTTCTATGCTGCCTGATGTCCAACTGCCCGAAAACAGTTTTAAATGTATATATATGTATATATATATATATATATATACACACACACACACATATATATAGTGTGTATGTGTGTGTATATGCATATTTGTATAATTTTCTAGTTGTGGTTAAAGGACAGTACTCATGCATTTAATCTTTTACGAATGAAAGCAGAAGTGAGGTGGCATGATTGAACACCATAAAAAAACAACAGAAGAGGGAGATGTGTAAAGTAACATCAGCTATCCTAAAAAATGTCTGTGTTCTGAAACTTCTGGAAAACTAATTTTCACTTAAAAATTAGCAATGGGAAAAGAACCAAATTGGAATCCCATATAAAATTATAATAAAAAAGAATAAGGAACAGGATAATGTCCTTACAGAAAGTGAACGCATGCCAGAAAGACATGCCCACAAATTAAATAAAAACTATAACCTATTACTTCAAAATGAGCTAAAAGGAAATGATGCTAAATATGAAAGGACAAATGAGAATAGATGAGAAATAGGAAAGGTTTGAAATGAGGTGATAGGATTTGAGAATGAACTATATATTAAAGAAAAAGATCAATTTAGGAATAAAGAGTAAACTAGAAGGAATACAAAAGTAAATAAATACAACAGAGATACTTTTAAGAGAAACAGAATTTGAAAAGAGAGAGATGCAAGAAAAGATTAACATGGCAAACCTGATGAGACAACTATCCTTAGGAAACCCTACATGCAAGCTTGACCCTTGACCGGCATCTGAGACCTTGCCTTTGGGGAGGGTTTCCAGCATTCTCTGGTAAGAATGGCTCACTGTGCCTAAACGGTTTCTGCAGACAGTATGGTTTATGCTGAACACCTACTTGTTTTCTGGGAGCTGGAATTTTGGTACACGGTGGGGAAGAGGTGCCTATGTGAATGCAGCCCCCAGTGAAAACCCTGGGTGCTGAGTCTCTAATGAGCTTCTCTGGTGGATATTTCACACATGTTGCCACAACTCACTGCTGGGGAAATTAAGTACATCTTGTGTGACTTTACCAGGAGAGGACTCTTGGAAGCTTGCCCTTGGTTTCCTCTGGACTTTGCCTTATGTACCTTTTCCCTTTTCTGATTTTGCTTTGTATCCTTTCACGGTAATAAATCATAGCTGTGAGTATGACTATATACTGAGTCCTATGTTTTCTCCTAGTGAATCGTTGGGGATCTGTTATACACCCTTCTTCTTATTTTCTTCTTTAATATGCATACTGGCAGCATTTAGGAATGCAAAGATATTTGTTTTAATTGCAAATAAATTAGAAGTGAATCTACAATAAAACTGAATTTTTGTCGTATGATACAATTTATAATTCATAAATTAACCATCAAAAGGTTAGCCAAATGGTGAATGTATGAACTCTGAAAACTACATAGAGAACTATTCTCCACTATAAATTTCATATGTAATGTGGTAGGGTGTCTTTTTTTTCTTTGTCTGTTTTCATTTTCAAATAATATTAATAGTATTTAAATAGAATCTTTGTAAGGGGTTGATCTTTCACATAAGGTCTACACCTTTGCTGCCTTTGTCTAAATCAGAAAGATTGGTTTTTGTTTTGTTTTTCTTTAAGTAGTATAGGAATGATGTAGAATCTTAAATTTCTTTGGCAATTTTCAGCAAGAACATTTTTCTCCCATTATAAAGCTTGAGGGGAAAAAAAGCATCCTTTGTATTATTGTTGTTTGAAATATTAATGAAGTATTTTCCCATGTTACTTGGAAGATTTCTATGGAAGTTCACACAGGGTGAATGCTAGCCAGGCATTGTTTATAAGATTTATTTCAAAGCACATAAAATTTGTTTTTTTCCAGAAGGATAGATAATTTAGAATTGCTTGATCAGTGATCACATACTGTCAAATTCCTAAGGATGCTGGCAGATATAACCCTGACTTCAAAAGTATATATATAGTTCCTAATGGAAATAGACACTGACAGAAGGAAATTTCTTTTGTATTTGTAAGGAAGAGTCAGAACTCCAGAGTACATTATCATCCAAACATATGGGAAACCTGAAGCATAGTTAGTTCTTATAGTTGCTTGGTAATTATCATTCCATAGGAATCAGTCTAACTTAATATTGCCCAGTGGTTGATCTCTTTTATTAAGATCAGTGCAGATGTCAATGCTGCTGAATTGTGGGTTCTTGATGCCAACTAAGCATCCTTCGAGAGTCTGTCTTATTAAGGTACTCAAGTGTTCATTAATCACCTCTAGGGTGTAGGTTAAACCTATCAAGAACAGGGGAAGTAAATGACTTTTCTTTAAACACATAGGAACTGGTTAAATAGCAACTCAGAGTCCAGGCTAGCAATGCTTCCAACTTGTATCTTTGACCATGAAGGTGTGTGAACATCTGTCAGCTGTACAGCAAATCACTGCCTAATTGTTTCTTCCTGAAAATAATGTTTTACATTTTATTACTGTCTCTGGGTGTTTCACATCCATTTCTGGGCTTTATAACTCAAAGGAAACCAAACAAACCCAAACTGGCCTCCCCACAGAAAGATGGCAGACCTTTGCTGAGCATATACTTTCTGCTAGGCTCTGCAGGTGCTGCAAAAGGTATAAGACACAAAGAACCCATGCCTCCAAGGAGCTTAGATCTATTAATGAGGATAGCAGAAGAAGATAAATTACCGCAATGCAAGGCAAATCAAGTTAACAGTTACAAGAAGGAGAGAATGGCCTACACACACCTACTATCAGTGTTGGAGTTGCTTCCCTCTAAAAATCATTAACAAGTCATCCTTTGGAAGCTAGGTCAAACCTGTTGCAGGTAAATTACACTGCCAGGGGACAGTGTTCAGTTACTAGGCAACATTCCTAATATGCAGTAAGTTATTTCTTTTTCAGGGCTCTGGAACCTTAGTTGTGGGAGTCATCTAGAAGTGGAGGCATCTCTCAATGAGGACTGGCTCCTTGGGCTCTGATTTTAGGCTCTAGATTCCTGGATGAAAGCTTGCTTCCATAACTGGCTTACGAAACTGGATTTTATTTACATCTTATTATGGCCATGATGAGTGGGGTTAGTTTTATGATGCAAACACTCATGCTTTCCTTCCAAATAGTTTAGTGACTTGCCGTTATTTTTCTTGCTTTGAAAAATGAGCCATCAAATCTGTAAGTGCTGTGGACAGAAATGTCAAAGGACTGGCTTATAAAGGAAGTTAATTACTGGATTAGTAATGCATTGATTAATATACTTTTTAACATGACAGGCTAATAAGGACAAAATTTGAATTGTGCATACATTTATTAATCACATTGAACTCAATAGTCAAGTTTATTTGAAATTTATTGAATTTTTAATCTAGTTTGGGATAGTTACAGGGACATATGGAGAATGTGAATTCTTTGAACTTAAGGAAGTAATTTCTACTTTTTCAGTTTTATACTCTACTAAAACATTAGCCACATTAATTTGTGGTCTTAATTATAGAGTAAATAACATTTGCACATACCGGAATGTTGATTAAAAGCTTTTAAAGTGTTTATCAGGATGATCTCATGCTAAAGAATAAGGAGGACGCTTTTAAGTATACTGACATATTTTTCTAGCAAATCGCATAGCTTTTCCTGAAGAGACCACCACTTGCTCTGCCAATGATAAAAGACTATGTTTGGTTCTATTACTGGAAATATAAAAAAATTTAAAAATTGTTGGTACCATTACTTCCCTTCCTTGTTCTTGGTTTTGGTGTGACAACAGCTGTCCTTTCACATCAGTTTACCTAACAGCGCCCAGTGTCGATAGAAGATACTCTCATAATGATGAATATTCTTTTTGGCTTCTTTTGGTTCGATTTCCTATCGCAGGAAATCATGTTACTGGAGTATTTCTAATGCCTAAATTAGTTTTTCTGTTTCTTTATGCACTTGCATCATGGCTCATATTTCATTCTTTTACAGGAATTTTAAACAGTTGTCAGGTGAAATGGAATTTATGACAATTAATGGAACAACATTAAGGAACCTGGAAATCCTTCAGAATCAGGTCAGGTAAACATAAGGCCTATTAGATTCAAAATGGTTTTGAAAAAAAATGTGGGATAAGGTAGCAGTCTGTGCTTAGGTATGCAGGTGAAAACATTGTTGTCTTCAGCTGACAGCATTGCCTGACATCTACTGGTAACTGCAGTGCTCACTTTTTCTGAGGACCAAATACATGAAATACTTACTTGGGAGTACGTTGGGAGCTATAGAGCTGTGCTTTTTAATGATTGAAGCAACACGTCCATCCTGATAATTTCTTTATCAAATATTTCTTTGGAAAGGCATCATCTTTGGAAATTAATGTAAAGTGGATTTTTTTGGTCTGCTTGGTTATGTTTTTTCTACATACTTTTAACTGATTGTTGAAATGTCTGCAGTCTTACTTCATTATCCAGCATATAAAACAAGTTTCTCTGATACTCAGTTTGACTGTAAGATGCATAATATTTCACTTCGCAAACTTCCATCATTGTTTACTTGCCCTTTATTGATGAATGAGAAGGGTAATGAAGACATTAAAATTATTGCTTTCATGTATTAAACTATCACTTGGAAATGTGAGATATTATATTGTAAAACTAATGTTACTATAACATAAAGTCACAGAAAGAAAAAGCAGTTCCAAGTCATTTGAGTAAGTAGTGGAAAAGCTGAACCATCTGCTGTGAATCACTAGAACTGCTGTGAATTAAAGTAAATGCTGAATTTATTCTCCTGACTACTGGATTTGTATATTGCTGTCTAGTTTCTCTCACTTGGTTTCTCCCTCTGCCAGGCTGTCCTTGTATACTGGAGTCAGCCTTCCTTTTATGCAATAACATTTTTATCATGTCATTCTGTCATCCGGAAGTTGAGTATATTTCCCGCAAGTCTTTCTCATCAACTCTGTAAACATCCCCGAGGTAGCAAACAAAAGGGCATTTCTGGGGTGAAGAAGAGCCCACAGTCAAAGCCTGCAGACACAGCCCCGGTATTCCAAGATTTCTTTACTTCTGCCACATCCTCCCTGTTCACATCCCATTACAGTGGAGTCAATTCTGAAATCAAATTCCTAAGGCAAAAATCATCTGTCATCAGAATACTCTCTAAAATCCCTTTCTTTATCAGGACTTGGGCCCTTGTAGAAATAGAAGCTGAGAATTAGCATCTTCTGCTTGTCTTTGTGCTTCGGCTTTGTCCTCCTTTACCATAGAGCAATGGAAAGGGGTCATGAGGAGGGAGCTGGTTGCCAGGGAGAGCAAAGGTGTAACAGGACTCAGGTCTCCCTCAGCTCTCCCTCTCTTGTCTGAGCCTGCTTCCCCAATGATGCCAGGTAATTAGAGAATGATTCCCCTCCACCGTACTCTTCCTGGGACCCTTTACTGTGGTCCAGGCAGTCGGGCTCTCGTCTCAGGAAGGGATGGTGCAGTCACTGATGTGGATTTTCCTCATAGGTCTGCTCTGCCTGCCCAGCTCCTCAGGGAGCCTTCCATGACACTGTAGTTTCCGTGTGTGCTCTGCTTTAAACTCCTAAGGCCTGGAGAGGTTATAGCACACTTTTTATAGTTGATTTCTGCCAGGTGGCATTGTGTCCTCATTAGGAGTCTTTTCTCCCACACTTGGATGTAAGTGCCCTGAGGGAGGGACCATGTCTTAATATATCTTTGCCAGTTATTCTACTGAGCACACAGGAGGTATTCTGTAAGTACCTGCTCGTTGATTTGAAGGAAAAGGAAAGAGTAAAAAAAAAACAAAATCAGGTGAAAACAACTTTATGTTCCAAATAGAACTTAAACCTATTATTAGACATTTTGTACTACGGTGAAACCTTGGTAAAATTTAATACCATCTCTAGTTAATTGTAAAATTTTTTTAATGGCTTAACATTAAAGTGGCAAAGCATAGATAAATTTTTGCTAAGGATTTAATAAAACAGACTAAAATCAAGCCCTTCAGGGGTACAGTCCTAGAGTGCAGTACAGGTTCACTTCTCTCTGTAAACTTGTTCAGTGTTGTCATGAGAGTATCTGTCTTTAGAATGGCAACTCTTAGGTAGTGGGAGATACTGAACTGCCAAAGGAAAATGAAATTATCTTCACTGTGCTTTCCAAGGCAGGAAAGGATGCAGTTATATTTTTGAGATGTTTAAGACAAACATTTCAAAAGAGACTTCTCAATAATTTATTGTTAGTTAACTAAAAACTATACATAGACTATATCTTTCTTGTGTAAAATATAAGTACTTTGTGTGTGTATATAAGGATGTGTGTATGTATACATTCATTCATCTGACATTAAATGAACACCTGTTTTGAGCTCTGTTTTATGCTAGGGCGTAACATTTAAAATTGGGGTCTATGGAATAACGAGGACGCATGAACAACTAGCAGTTTTGGTACAAATACAATCATCTAGTTAATAAACCTTGTTTTCTGGTCTTTTTTAGACTGATATGAAAACCAAAGGAAGTTTATTTTGGGTTTTAGACCATACTAAAACTTCATTTGGGAGACGGAAGTTAAAGAAGTGGGTGACCCAGCCACTTCTTAAACTAAGGTAAAAGGAATTGTCTTTTGTGTGTTTAATCTGAACATTGTTTTCAGTCGGGGAAGATTTTATTTTGTATCTGGCAATAGACTATTATCAGGAAGATTTTTTTCCTTGTCCCTAAGAACGAGCCTACTTTCAGTTGGAAGACATGGCGTCTGCCCGGAGAAAGTGGGTTAACCAGTTCGTTTGGGTCATCAGTAACATAAGGGTGTAGGGAGAGAGAGGCTGGGGCAATGGGGCACTGCCTTTTGTTGAGGGCTTTGAAGGCTGGGCTGAGGAGCTGGTAGCCAGAGGAGGTTAATCCAGTGATTCTGCACATGGGAGTGATAGGATCAGAGCTGTCTTGTGTGTGGGAGCAGACAAAGTGGTCATGGGTGGGGAACAAGCTGGCAAGTTCACGGAGAGGTCCTGAGGACCTGAGCTAAAGAAGTAACAGTAGGAATCTGAAAGAGGGCTTAGATGTGAGATGTTTAAGAAGGTAGGATGAGTAAACTAGGTGTGCTTTCAGGGAAGGTAAGTGAGTCTGGTGCCTGAAACACAGTGGTTTCCAAGCTTGTGTGCACGTTGGAATCACCTGGGTAGCTTTGAAATACTTAATGCCTGTATCCAGCCCCCAGATATTGTGATTTCAGTGGCCTCCAGTGTGGCCTGGGAGTTGGAATTTTTAAAAGCTCCCAGATGATTCTGACATGCAGATAGATTTGGGAGCTGTGACCTATGCCTGTCATGTTGTAGGAGTCCAAATAATGTTGACTGACGGACTGAATGAATGAATGCTATTATTTATTGTGCTTTTACTATGTACCAGTATTTAATATTCAGAATCATCCTCTGAGGGTGGGTCCTTGAGATAAGTAAACAGATTCAGAGAGCTTCAATAACTTGCTTGATGTTTCACAGCTGGTAGAGCCTAGATTTAAAATCAGCATTGAATCCATCTTGAACAGCTTCCCATATGGACGGACCAGAGAGAGTGTAGTGCTGGTGCTGTTAGTGGGCTCTGTCAACTGAGTCAGTCCCACTAAGGCTGCAGCTCACCACCCCCTAGCCAGCCCACCGTGTTCTCACCTTTGCAGTGGTACAGTACCTCCTCACAGGGCTGCGGTAAGGAATAGAATGAGGCAGTAATCTTCACTGCCAGTTTTGAGCTCTTTATCATATAGCAAGCACTATGCTACGGGCTTTACGTGCATCGTCTCTTAAACTGCACAGCAGCCGCACTAATGGCTGCGTCTTATGCTGTGCTTAGTAAATAGCCATCTTTGGCAAAGGAGAGCAGATGCTGTTACTGTTAGTCCTAAGCTTTAAGATACTGTTCTGATGATGACTGGTTACTAAATCACTTCAGCTTTTAGTGGGTCATAAAGACCTTCGGACAGGGGTAACTGACTAGGTAAAGAAGGAATTCTGAAAATGGAAGTATCTACTTTGGTTCAGTATTCAAACGAGATAAAGATACCTCATGGAGCAAAAGCAGACAAGATGGCTTTCTGTAGATAGTGTGCGGACAGCAATATAAGGGGTGTTGCCTTCTGGCTGATAGAAAGGCATCTAAAGCGTCCACATTATTATTTTTATTTTATTTGGTTGGTTGAAATATTCAACAGAAACAGACTTGCTAGCAGACTTTTACATGCAAATTAAATTTTTTATTTCTGTTGTTAAATTTGTTTTGTATAAACAGGATTAATTTGAGATAAATTCAGTAGACCATGTTGTATGCTCTTTTGGGGCTAATCATGTACTCTTTGGGACCCTCCTTTCCCAGAAAGGCTGAGAGAAGGTACTCCATGCATTGAACTCCAGTGCTTTCAAGTATTGAACTTTAGACCAGCCTAAAACATATATAGCTGAAAACAGGCACACAAAACTTCTTCCTTTGCCATTTCTATTTTAAGTCATAGTTTTAAAACTTTAAGTTTCCTAATCCATTAAAATTGAATTCAGGGACTTCCCTGGTGGTCCAGTGGTTAAGAATCTGCCTTCCAGTGCAGGGGATGAGGGTTCGATCCCTGGTCAGGGAACTGAGATCCCACATGCCGTGGGGCTGAACTCGTGTGCCACAGTTAGAGAGCCTGCACGCCACAACTACAGAGCCCCTGTGCCACAACTAAGACCCGACACAGCCAAAAATAAATAAATCACTATTAATAAATAAAAATGTGTTTATATAAAAAAAATTGACTTCAAAAGAATTCCAGTTATGTCTTAATTGCACTTGCCATGTCTTCCAAACAAATACCTAGAGAAAATCTTCCGCTGATTAGTCAGTAGTTCAGCTATATATTTATTGTTGTTGTTGTTTTAGTACTAACATTAGGTGCCATGCATCCAGGCTAATATTCTGTCTCTGACATAGGCAGCCAAAGGTTAGTTTAGAGCCTAGTTTTCGTCTATAGTGAGACCATACAGCAAATAATTGGTGACAAGGGAACTTAGCAAGATATAAGGTGGATCTCCCAAAGTTCTTCAAGAGCCATTATTTGTCAGTCATCCATGAATTCTCTTAAATCCTTTAGGATCTTTTTTATATTTTCAACCTATTTTAGCTTCCAGGGCAGTCACACAGTTCATAAATTCAGGACCAAGTGTCTCAAGTTTCAGAGGATTTTCCACTCCCACTACTTTTTATTCTATAAAATGACCTCTTTGGTGCAAATTTTTCTAGTGACTTTCTAGAAAGTATAAATGGCTTTTACCCTATACTTACTGATTCAAAGAATTCACTTGGGTTATTGAGGTCAGATGTTACTCTACTGAAACCACATTGGCTTTTATAAATAGGTTATGCTTTCTCATGTGTTGTGCCCCATACGTTTTATCAGTTGTGTAATTTTAGGCAAGAAGATTCTTCAGTGTAGGTCTCTGGCTTCTTATAGCTGAATGCCATGTTGGCAAGCCATTAGTCCTAAGACCTTTTAAAATTAAATTATATTGAATTCATTTTTTTCGAGATTCCATCTTTGAATTTCTTCTGCTTCTTTTAGTTGATATGGTCTTGTCAATCTTTTATACATATACCATAGGTACTTTACTGGTTTTCTCCACAAGCCCCAAAATGCAAATTCTGCTTGTAAATAGTGACTGGTTGGGAGGGGGGAGGGGCAGAAAACTTTGAAAAGTGTGGGATGAGTATCTAAAACGGTATTTTAGGCAAAATATTAATTTACAAGGCAGATTTGGTCATCTCAGAAGAGTATTCAAGATTCAGTAACTTACCCTATGTTTTGAAATATTAAGCAAAGGTAAGTTCTGAGTTTTCTCCATGAGTACCTCTTCTTCTACCTGCACCTTAAGTGTTGATGTTACCCGTGGCTCTTTCCTGGGGCATCTTCTTACTTTCAACACTACTTAGGATCTTATCTGTGGCCATGGCTTCTCCTGTAACTCATGTGCAGATGACTTTGTCTCCATTATCTCCCACAGCTCCAGAACCACACATCCACTAGCATGTCTCTGCCTCAGGAAATGTTCGACATGAGTATGCAGAACAGATTGGAAATAAGACATTTTCGTCAGTGAGATAGTGTTTTCTTGAAAATGCAGCTGTGTGTGTGTGTACATGCGTGTGCAGGTGTGCATACCACTTATAGAACAGCAGATTATTAACCACAAAGGGAACCTGAGAAATCAGTTCCTCCCCTTCTAGTGGATGAACTATTTTGATCAATGATGAAAACATTGTCTCTCTGCAAGAAGTAGTATTATATCATCTTGCCTTTTTGTAAAATCACTTTTTATGAAAGGCACTCAGGTGAAAGCCCTTTCATGAAAGACTTTTTATTAAGGAAACTAAGCATCTCCACGCCTCTGGTATTGCCCTTCTCTGTTTCTATCTGCATTACCCAAAGATGATTTTTTTAAAAATGTTTATCTGATTATGTTTTGCTCCCTACTATTTACAGTTCTCACAGCACACTAAGGTGTGATTTATTTCTGGACCTTTGTACAGTCTGTTCCCTTTTTCTAAAGTGGAAACTACTCATTTTTGTCTCCCTAACTTGCTGGCTGCTTCTTCAAAGTTTCCTTTGCTCACTGTTCATCTTCTCTGTATATTTTAAATGTTGGAGTTCCTGAGGCCTGAACCTTAGGAGCTCAGCTTTCTTCCTTCCCTTATCCTTCCTTCCCCTTCTCTTCTCTCCAATGAACTTACCTATGCCCATGACCATAAATATCAAAATGTCAGTGATTCTCAAATTTGATTCTCAAATACTCTCCTCTATTCTCCAGGCTTATATATTCAACTCAGGCTCCTAAACACATAGGTGTATCACAGGCATCTCAAACTTAACGTATTCAACCCTATTCCTCCTCCTGGTTCCCTGTCCCCTCCACCTAATGCGTTGCTTGGGCCAGAAACCTGGGAGTTACTCTGGACATTTCCTTTTGACAACCACATCCAATCTAATACTAAGTCCTATTGCTTTTACCCCTAAAATATATCCAGAGACTGTGCATGTCTTGCCATCTTGACTGCAGTCAGTCCCACATGGACTGCTGCAGTATCCTCCTAACTGATCTCTTTTTTGAAAATAAAAGCTGAATCATGTTACTCCACTGCCTTAAACTCTTCATTGGCTTTCCATTGTGCTTCAAATAAAATTAAAATTCTTAAACATGGCTGTTCTGTCTGACTTTCCTCTGCATTCATGCATTCATTGTTGTCTGTTCACTCTGGCCTTCCTTTAGTTCCTGAGCATCCCAGAGCTTTTTCTCTTCTCATGGTCTCTGCATTTACTCGTCTCTCTACCTAGAATATTCTTTTCTTTCTCTTCAGTTTTTACACAGCTAACTGCTTAATTCTTTAGGTTTTACCTTAAAGTGTTAGTTCTTCAGAGAGCTTTTCTCTGACCTCCTGATCTAAATTATGTTCTTCGTATTATTCTTGGATAGTGTATAGGACTTACTATGATTGGTATTTGTTTAATATCTGCCTGTCTCACTCAACTGTGTGTTTCATTTGTAACAAGCAATTGATAAGTATTTTTCCCCTGTGCTCATTTTTC